ATAGTGTCACGTAATCGCTTTTTCCGCAATCATCTTTCAACATCATTAATCATGTTAAAAGGCTTATAATGTGTGATAAAAATCTAAAAAAAGCTATGGGATACACGCTTCATTTAGTATGATGATGACAACAACAAAGAAATTAATTAGATTTGTCGACATTACTGAAAAAGCTATATTACTGAATCTAACATGAAAGTGTATAAAAATTTTAAAAAATCTGACAACTTACAATTCACCTTTTAAGGAAAAATAACACTAACCTAAACTACATAATTATATGGCTATGAATAATAAAATTATAATGTGCTGTTTAGGTAGTCTCTATCTTACTTTAAGTCTCTTGACAAAGGAAATGCAAAGTCTTCAAAAGTTCAACACAAAAGAACAATAAGAAAACTTTACTATAAAAATAATAAAAATAATCAAGATCATTTGCACTATTGTGAAGTTAAGTTTAAAAAGTAAAATGATGCTAGTTCAATTAGCTTGTGCTTGTACAGTTAAATACATTTGACACTTAAATAACGTTTTCATTATCTTTCTTTTTTTTTATTATTATTTGGTCCTGTCACAATTTCTCTTAAGGTCATTAAACCACAGGGAGATCTTATGTGGTTGCTGCAATATTGTGGCTGTTGCCAGCAAAAATGCGAAAAATGTTATTGTTGTTACAGTTGCTATTGTTACGGTTCTTATTATATTTCTGATTACTTGTTTAATACAGTTAGTCCACTTGGATTTCTTACAAAGTACTTGTTATGGGGAATAATACAGTCAGCATATTTAAACCAGACGTGGCAGGATGTTATGATTGAATGTTAGAAAAGAGCTGCAACTACATTTTAAGACTGAGACTTAATTTGGTAAGCGAGAATTACCTGTGTGAGATTTTGGACCAAATTAAAAAATGTTGCAGCTTTCTACATGTGCAATGTGCCTTATATATTGTTTTAAGCTAATACGAGGAAACAGCGAATTTTTAAAGGAAAAAGTGAAGCTTCTTTTTCGTGACTGGTCATTCATCCACTTTGTTGTGGTTTTATTTTCAAATAAAAATAATAATATTTAAAAATATTGACAATATATATTCAGTAATGACATCTCACGCGCGAAGTAAGAAGACTATATGAAGGCTTGAAATTATATTAAGAACGATTGTGGCCGCTTTGTTAAAAACCGAATACAATGGTCGCCTTGTTAAAAGCAAAATATATCAAGAAACGGGCAAGAAATAGTCCTAAATGGTGCAAATGATCGTAAAGGATGATCTTGTGAGTGCGATTGCATGACACTCGGTAAGTCGTAAGATGACATGTTATCACTTTTCAGACGAAAAAACAGTTTAAATCCTCATTCGGTATCTTGAACCCAGTCTGCAGTCTGCATTTAGTTCCTAGTCAGCAATTTGTACCGGTCTGCATGTCTGCAGTCTGCA